ATGAACCAGGAGGTCACAGCACATGCCTGGGTTGCTGGCTCGATCCCCAGTGTGGGGCGTGCAGGAGGCAGCCGATCAATGATTTTCTCTCATGATGTTTCTATCTCCTTCCTCTCTGAAATCAATAAAAAGTGTGTGTGTGTATATATATATATTAAAAAAGGACAGGTATATTTGGACATTTAAATTTATTCAACCCTCGCCCATTCATTTATATGTTAATGTTACATTTGGAGAAATAAATTCCTGGGACTGAGATTCAGAAGTGGAGATATTGAAACTCTCCATTTGGTGTGCATAGATCATCCAGCAATGCCTAAGTATCTCTCTTTTGCTGTCCCTCGCCTAGTCCCACCTCTGTCCCAGGACAATATTATTTTTATGCTTGCCCCCAAGTTCCCTCCTTAACTGGGCAGCTTAACCCTTGAGGTCACTTGATTTCCTCGATTCCCCCCAAAACTGACCACACAATCTAATGTAATAAAACATCTGCTTCAGATTATAGATCTTAAAAATCCTGCTGCCTTCTAGTTACATGAAAAATAAGGGTGCTGCGTGCATGTAATCATGGAAGGAGGTGGGGTCCCAGAGCATCTCCTTTCTTGTTCTTTCTCACGAATGAAACTTTGGGTGACTTAAAGCATCCATTTTAATCATGATCTGGGCCTAACCTTGCCTTTCATCATCATCTATCTCTCTCTCTTTTAATGTTCTTATTGATATTTTATAGAGAAACATCAACAAGAGAATTACATCATCAATCAGCTGCTTCCTGAAACCCCACCCCCATCCCCAGGGGATCCAGCCTGAGGATATGATTGTAGAGCAGGGGTGGGGAACATCATATGAGTCCCGGGAAATCATTTGGCCTGGCCCTGCCGAGGCATTAGGGGTCAGTTAATTAAATGTTTGACCAAATGTAGCAGGCTAATTTTTAAGTTGGTAATTTTGTATAGCCCACAAATGATGATATAAATACCAAATGGCTCTTTGCAGAAAAAGGTTCCCCACCCCTCTTTTAGAGAGAGAAACATCAATGTGAGAAACATCAATTGGTTATCTCCCATATGCGCCCCAACTAAGGATTGAACCCACCACCCAGGTGTATGCAGAAATGATACTACTCACTGGGGTTTTCCTACGCACAGGTGTACTGTCATTTCTTAACTATGCTTGAGCTCACATTATACATTTATATTTGGCTTTATTCATCTACCATCCTATATAATAACAGGCCAATATGCAAATTGACTGAACGGCAGAACAACCGGTCACTATGATGCACAGTGACCACCAGGGGGCAGATGCTCAACGCAGGAGCTTCCCCCTGGTAGTCAGTGCACTCCCACAGGGGGAGCGTCACTCAGCCAGAAGCTGAGCTCATGGCTGGCAAGTGCAGCGGTGGCGGTGGTGGGAGCACTAAGGATGTCCAACTGACGGATGTCCCTGGGGAGCAGGCCTAACCTGTCAGTCGTACATCCCCTGAGGGCTCCCAGACTGTAAGAGAGCACAGGCCAGGCTGAGGGACCTCCCCGTCCCAAGTGCATGAATTTCGTGTACCAGCCCTCTAGTGCAGCGATTCTTAACCTGTGGGTCGTGACTTCTTTGGGGGTCGAACGACCCTTTCACAGGGGTCACCTAAGACCATCAGAAAACACATATAATTCCATATTGTTTTGTGATTAATCACTATGCTTTAATTATGTTCAATTTATAACAATGAAAATACATCCTGCATGTCAGATATTTACATTATGATTCATAACAGCAAAATTACAGTTATGAAGTAGCAACAGAAATGATTTTATGGTTGGGGGTCACCACAACATGAGGAACTGTATTAAAGGGCCGCGGCATTAGGAAGGTTGAGAGCCACTGCTCTAGTGGATGAAATAAAACCAGTGACTGAGAGAGAACAGAGCTGCTGCTTTGGTTAGGAAGGTGGAGAGTGTTCTTTGAGGAAGTGATGCGTGAATGGAGACATAAATGATAAAGGCCAATCATGTGAAGAAATGTGGAAGGAATGTTCTGCGCAGAAGGAATGGCAAGAGCAGAGCCCTGGGAGTGGAAAATGGTGAGGGAGACTCACAGAACTGAATGTGACTTTGGACTTTGGGAGCATCATGGACAAAAAGCTGGCAGGGGGAGATGGGTTGGAGGGAGGCAGGGGCCAGCTCAGCAGGGTCTCGACACCATGTAGGATGTTTGCATTTTATTCTGTCATAGAAAACCATTGGGGGTTTTCAGCAGAGTCCTGGCCTGGTGGGATGCACAATTTTAAAAGATCACTGCTCTGTAGAGAATGAATACGTGGGGTGAGGGATGGGGAGGCAAGAGTGGAAGGTAGAAATGGGCCAGCAAAGTTGATAATGAGTTGGACTAGGGTGGCAGCAATGTCAAGAGAACCCAGAGAGATCGGTGGCAAGATAGAGACGCGTAAGTATCAAGAAAGATTTTCTCAAGGGAAATAAATACATTTTGCTCAGGGAGTCCAAGTATTGATTGCATCCATTCCTTCTTCTTGCTAATCAAAAAATGTGGCAAATATTGGATTTCAGAATGCTTTCTATTTGTTTCACTATAAGATAAGCATTTGGCTCAGTAGAACGTAACGCTGTTTTTAAAGACTTTAACAAAATCAGAATTGATTCAATTTATAGCCCCTTTAGAATTAATGTACCAAAATTGCATTAAAGAAACTATGTTGAATAAACCGTGTCACAATTGACAACTTGCTACACTTCCAAAGGTTGCATTTTATGTGGTGCTGAGAAGCTATAAAATTAAGTGCAAGAATTAGAGGTATATAATTTGGGCTGCATACACTTGATGATGATGATGATGATGATGATGATACAGCAAAAAACATTTAACTTTTGCCATTCTGTTATACTCTCGTCCAGCCGTGGGCAAACTACAGCCCGCGGGCCGGATCCGGCCCGTTTGAAATGAATAAAACTATTGAAAAAAAAGACCGTACCCTTTTATGTAATGATGTTTACTTTGAATTTATATTAGTTCACACAAACACTCCATCCATGAT